TTTTGGGAAATGAATTATCACATCCTTACTTTTCATTAAGGTCATCAATTAACATGTATGAAAAACAAATTGCCGTTTTACGAGGGTTCATAAGACGGACTGTTTCTTGGTCAGTACAAGTTGCTGAGCGATCAGCAGACACTCCACAAAGTTACTGATTCCTACAAATAAATAGTCTGAGTCCTTGTTTATGTACTGAGATGAGTTAGCCGGCTGCTGGCCGTAGCTTCATATTTAGCGTACAAACATAGGAGTTCAGCAGGAAAGCGAAAACATGCGTATTTCCCAAAATGTTGAAGTTTTTCCATGAGGGAAACATTGTCAGGGAGAAAATTGGTTCAGAACTTCATTTCTTCCTTCATTTGACGGCAGCAGGAATATTAGATTGTGTGTATTTCCCTATTGTTTTTTCAGTTAATCTGCTGATTATACAGTTGTGAATACAATAACTATTTAGAAAGAGCGTTATTTACCATGTCAACTCCAACATAGTAGCCCAGGCTCTCATTGCCCGGCAGCAGGTCACAAAAAATGATGGTGCCTCTCTCCGGCCCGTCCCTGGTCTGCACCAGGACCCTGGAGTTGATCTCCAGCGGAGGGAAGTCCGGGTCCTCTTCCACCTCCAGCTCGCCAAAGACATCCTCATCCTCCCAGAGTTCGAGCTTGTCCAGGGCCACAAACACACCGCACTCATCCTCACAGCGGAAAAGTTGTCGGCCCTGGTAGGAGCCCTCCGTGAAGCCCTGGCCCCGGCCCTCCTCCTGGGAGACAGGAAGTAAAGGAAGGAGGATGAGACAAGTGTCCAGAGCGAGACAGAACAGGAGCAAGAGGGATGAGAAAATCATAAAAAAGTAGGGCAGGTAGCGAGGCTGCTTGCTCAGTATTGTTTCAGGGAAGGGAAGTCAACATCATAGAGCTGTGAGCGCATAAGATCGATTACTGCAGCAGGAATACAAGTTGATTTACTGCAATGATGAATGCATTCAGAAGGTTCTAGCACAGATGCTCTCACAAAGCATACAGTAACATCTTGTGCCTCTTTTCTCACATGCTTATTAGATATGAATTAGAGTCCTCTCTAATTTGTAGGGGCATAAAATCAGAATTGTATCTGAAGCATGTGTGCAAACTGAGGCCTGAGCTACGGCCTGTAGGTTTGAGCTCCATCAGCCCACTCAAGAAGATGCCAGCTGGAAGAATAAAAACAACATTGTGCTGCAATAAGTGACCCTTTGTATTGTGTAACGTTGCTGTACATACGGTACAGAACGAATAGCGTGACGTCGAATAATCACATTTAGTGTTGAGATTAAAGGAATAGTTAACACAAAGGTTCGCCCTTGTGTCAGTAAAAATACTGCTTCTTTGTTTCAGCCTTCTCTAAAATAACATGAAGCCAGTCCCTATCTTTAAAGCTTAAGAAAGGGCAGACATTGAGAATAAACTTTGCAGACAATAACCAAAGAACGTTGACATCTGACAGACCAACATGTACTTCATTTAATCCCGCATTTTCAGCAAGTCAAAACTAATGTGATGCACAAAGTGCCGAGATACGACATTGTCAAAGCAAATGTCACACAACTGTGAATATTTAGCATTGCATTGTGCCTCGGAAGCTCTGCCTTGTGCTCTGTACAAACAGCTCCAAACAGTCACCAAAATAGCTCGACAATAATCAGCAGAAACTTTGATTTGCTTCAGGGTCCAATTTATCCAAATATGCTACGGGTTTCTTTTCTTTTCGGACACCATGCAAGTGCAAGTTGACAAGGCACACATGAAAGTGCAGACACTTACATTTGTGTGTGCACAATCTAAATGAATAAACCTGTTTTTTTCTCCCATGTATGTTGATACTAAAGTCTATTGAGCTTAAAATAGCATGAAGAACAGGAGTACAAACACTTCATTGTATTGCAATTGCCATGAGCACTGTAATTAATAAAGGCCATGGGTGGTGGAAATGGTTATACATCTCTTCTTAATAAATAAAGTGCGTGTGTTTTAATTTGCTGTACTGTGGTTCTGATTCAGCTTTAAGCTTTAGAAAGAAAATCCGCTGGTTTCAAGATGCTCTCAACAGCCAGTTCCTGGATGTTTATTTTGTATTGGATAAGACTGAAAATAATCTACACAAGCCACACAGATGCAATCTGTTTTAACTGCTTTGAAACGTGAATAACAAGGAGTACATGTTTGTTTCTGACAGCTGATTTGAAATGATTAGATCCCTACCTTTAAAAATTAGATCCTATAAAAACATATTCACAGTTGCAGTGGTGTTTGGTTGCAATTCTGCTTTTGGTTCCCTATCTGCACATATTGTTTTCAAGCTGCAGTGCCAGCTCAAGTTGAAACTGACTTTCTTCTGTTTTTATAATGAGATATCTCATTTGTACTGTGCAACTTAATAAACAATGTCACCAACACAGAAATGACTATTTCTACCGTAGTAGAGCTCTCTTGCACCGATCACGGAGGAATCACAGAATAACCACGACACCCTCTTTTAAAAAGAGAAAGAAACAAAAGACAAACAATTTCTCACCAGCAGCTCCACTCCAAACCAGATCCCAGAGAGGGCTCTGTCAGGGAGCAGCGAGCCCTTGAAGCGAACCACACCGGGCAGAGGTTCATCCCCTGAGCGCAGCTGGACGCGCACCTTCGACCCACAGTCAATATCACGGACGCGCTCCAGCCGGGACTTGTTGCAGAGGAGGGCGTACCGCTCCTCACAGTTGGTGATTGGGAACAGCAGCTCAGCCAGCTTCTCATCCAGCTCCAAGACCTCCCGCTCGTCCAGGCTCAGCACCACATTGGTCTGGTCCAGGATGCGGAGACTTTTCTTGCCCTTGCATGGGGGCAGTGTTCTCCCCAGGCTGTTGCGCTCCTGGCAGGCCTGACCAAGACTGCCGCGTGGGATCCTCAGGGTCTTCTGGGGAGGCTTCTCCACCGTACACTCCTTTATGACCATGTAGAAGCGCCAGTCCTCCCTGAAGCCCCCACTGGGCTTCTCCTGGCTCCACAGGGCAGAGCTCATGGCTGCATGCTAGGCAGGAGGTCCAACATCAAGGCAAGCTTGACCTGTAGGAAGAATAACAAATGACCACTTGAATGGGGACCTCAGTAAAGATCTATAATAATTGATGGAAATCTGAAAGGTAAGTTTATCTTTAAATTAAAAGATATGTGGATTTATTTAGCTAATGATGTGTACTCTCCCTATCTGCTGCCCAGTACCCCTGTTTTTTTAGCAGGTCCTTGTGTGACAATATACTCATATTCACTGATTTGAATATTCAAAACAATAAACAGTGAGCAGACAGTTGACTTATTCAAACACACATGGCAAGATGCAGATACCAGACAACTGGGTTTCCCCTGATGACACCTCAGAAATGATGATCAACCACAGAGTCAAGAGCACACTTCATCCGTCTTTTGTTTAAAGCATGACAGTATTGCTAACTTGGTTAGCATATTGTTGTTTTCAATAAATTGTGTAATGTGAGAGTACCACCATGATCAAATTGAAGTAATATTGTGTATGGCTAATGCTGTACAGTGCTAAGAAGCAGGGAGACAACTGAAAGTGATTTCAACCTGGCGCTGACCCCATGTGACGACCACAAAGATGATTACAATTGTGTTTATTCCAGTGTCGGCCTCACGGACACCCATGTGATGACTCGTTTTCGTTGACATTTTCACTGACAACCAGAGCAGCAGTGTGTCATCGCCATGCAAAAGCTGTCAGTCACAGGCCCTTTAAGAGAGGGAAGTAGCTAACGTACCGCCAGCTAAAAAGCCCCAAATAGTAATTTACGTTCAATACTAACGACGTGGACACTTACCTTTGATACGCGTCAGTTTCAGTTAGAGGATACAGGTGACTGTCATTTCAGGTGTCCATCTCATTTAGATACAGGCCTCTGGAAACAAGCTAGATTCCTCCCGTATTAACCTCTGATTAGCTCAATGGCTAGCTGATGCTAGCGTCTAAACCAGCTCAGTATCACGCTAAAGTTAGCCTAGCGAGCTGAGCGGTAGCAACCGGGCCGGCAGAGGACTGCCAACCTCGACAGTATGCTATCAGCATTTAGATAAATCTGCTCTCCATGGGAAATACGTGAAATAATACAGTTTCGCTACAGCTATGAGATATATTATTTACAGGAGACGACCTCACGAAACTTAGTGTATGACATCATGCACTCCCTGACAGGCATTGGTCAGCCGTTTCGTTTCCGAGCGCTGATTGGCTGTTCATTATGTTTGTAACCAGGCACCGCTGTGGGGTTTTCCCATGAATGGCAGAACACATAGTTAGGTTGAGGTGTAGCTCTCAGGGCAAGATGATGCTGTCTCTGGCCAGGCAGTGGTGGAAGAAGTATTTACTGTGGAATATTTACTTAAATAAAATAAGCAATACTAAATTAATTAAGAAATACCTTTTGACAGTTAAGAACTTAAAATGTATTTAGAACAAAAAAAAGTATTATTATCAGTAACATGTATTTATAATCAAAGTAAATGTGCTCAATTGATCTCTTTTAGAGTAGTATACATTAATTAATGCATTTATATTATATTATTGGATTTTAGTTAGTAATGCATTCATATGTATGAAGCATGTCAATGTTGCAGCTGGTTGAAGAAGAGCTATTTACCACTGCGTAATATACTGTTGGGAGGTTATATGTCATATCTGTGTCATATTTTCTAAGATGATCCTATGTTTTGGATGAACATTTTAGTCTGAAACTAGTAACTATAGGTGTATATCTATATATGTACATATAGTTCAATAAAATATTTCCCTCTAATATGTAGTGATGTAGAAGTATAAAATAGCATAAAATCGAAATAAGTGCAAGTACTTCTCAAAACTGTACTTAAGTATTGTGAATATGTGTAGTTACTTTAATAATACTATTATTAGCAGTAAGGCAAGGCAAGGCAAGTTTATTTGTATAGTACATTTCAACAACAAGGTAATTCAAAGTGCTTCAGTAGTAGTAGTAACAGTGGTGGTGGTAGTGGTGGTGTGGTTTTATGTGATCGTATCACAACCTACACCTACAAAAGAAACCCAAAACAAAGGTGGATATATTTTGTGTATTTGGATAAACCCTGAAAAGTGTCATTTTATTCCTGTAAGCAGAAAACCAGGATACAACCATCAAACATTTTTATATAAATATTTCCGATAATAAATAGAAAAGTTCTTAAAGCAATACACAGTCCTTGGCCAACTTTATACCCAAATCAGAAGATCAGTCTTGATTCCCGTTGTGTCAGCTCCTCCACCTCCTCCAAACTGAGGTCATTGTTTATCAACCTGTAGTGGGACAAAATCAATCAATGACACTGTCAGTTTAGAAATGGACACGAAGCTTAAAGCCAAAACGAAATTCAAGTAGAGCCAAAATAAGATGCAGTGTTTCTAGGCGCTGAAAAGAGAAGTGCTGCCCTAACTTGCCCCAAATCCAGGATGTAGACAACCACTAAGCAAGCACATGTACTAAACACAAAAGAAAGAGTGGGAACGTCACTCACCATACTGATTTCATGCGAGTATTGTGTGCTAGGGCTTGAATCAGGCATTCCACCCCTGTTCTGGTTATGCAGTTCTCTGTTAACCTTTTACAAGAAATAAGAGGGTGAAGCAATTAATGTCGGTGGACATTGTGTTCATTATCAGTACCAGTATAACTTGTTGCGAACACTTACCAAAGCTCTTCCAGTGACGTGCTGTTCTTGATAATGTTGGCGAGGGCACATGCTCCAGCACTCCCCACACCATTGCCAACCAGACTGCATTACATACAATTTAGATTATATTCAGTTTAAGTATTCTTCAGCTGCAGGAAGACATATTGCTTTCAACTAAAAGGTTCAAAAGTGTAACTGTGGCTACTTCCTCACAACGGATATATGCATTTTATATACATAATTGTGGTCATTATACAGCTACACAGTAGTCGGACATATCTGAATATGTTCACATGTGTAATACATTTTCAACACTGTCTTAAATATACCTAAGGATCTAATATTCAAAGCAAATATTACCTAAGCCACACCAGAGATGTGCTGTTTTCTAGAGCACTGGCAACAGCCTCTGCTCCTGCGTCTCCTATCTTGTTGCCCCAAAGCCTGTGAATACAAAGAAAGATTAGTAAATAGAAATGCACCACCAATAAAACTTATGGCATTTTGCAGGAAGAATTTTACCCTAAATACTGTAGTGAATGGTTGTATTTCAGTCCCTCTGCCAGCTGCTTTGCTCCTTCTTCTGTTATATTATTGTTGCCAAGCCTGAGAGGAAACAGAGAGGTTCATTTGCTATTCATTACAGGCTACACAGACTTTGTGCGTATCATCATAGTTCCATTTTCGTGTCACATCTGATGAGTGCTGCTGAAAATACTGCATGCGCTGACCTAAGAGAAATGAAATCCTGCTTGGTCTTCAGAAGATGAGAAAAGTGCTGTGTGCAAGCATCAGTTAGCTTGTTGTTGAAAAGCCTAGAGACAAACAAACTGATTATGAAAGGTAATTGATCAAACGTAATTTGGGACATGTGATAGTGTTATTAATCATTTTGACAACACTGACTTACGCAATTTTCCGGAAGCTGTCACACTGGATACCTTTAGCAAGCAGTTTGCGAATTCCCTCATCTGTAATGTTATTATTTCTGAGGCTGATAATGGAAGAATATAGGACACTTGAGCATAACATGTATTTTTGCCGTATAGTTGTGGAAGCTTTATCCACCACAATGAAGAGATGGTATCTTTTCATACTCACTACAGGGAATTGCAAATGGGCATGCAGGGAAGAAGCTGCTCCACTCCAACATCACCTACAGAGTTGTTGTCGAGCTGGAGGCCAACAGGATTCCTTAAATGCTGGAGCACATACGCTAGAGCAGTGCACTCTACAGGACCAATGTTACAGTAGGTCAGTTTCAGGTGGTCCACCTCCAGCTTACTCATGGCGTCTTTAGCAATCCTGCTCTCCTGCATCTCATAGATGCATTTGATAAGCCAGACGAAGCCTGGCATTGCATGCATGCTCTTTTTCTCCCCCTCAACAGGTTGAGGGATAGACTTAAAATGTTTATGCATGCCTTTGGACAGGCATGTCACCACCTGTTTGACCCTCTTCTCCATCACTGCACTGGAGCAGCAGTGGAGCCACAGGCTACGATGGCGCTGGGACAATAGTCCAGACACAAAGGTGGCTGTGATTTGCAGATTTGGTGTTTTAGCAGATGTAGCTTCCCCCTTTAAAGCCTGCTCTTGTTGGTCAGTGGAAGGCAAGCAGACCCCGAAGCATGTGCTGCTCCTCAGACCTGTCATGTTCTGCATCTCAAAGAGCTTAATGATAGTTGAACGGTCAGTGTTATTTGACAAAACAATGTACAGAGCAGCAAAGAAGCATTGCATAATCACATGAAGAAATTCAAAGCGTTTACTGTGGGTGGAGGACAAATCTTTGCTTTGTATGAGAAAGCCCATGCAGATGTCCGTATCAGTTACACCACATGTCTCAAGGGCTGTACCTGAGAAGATGTAACAGCTTGTTTCTATTCCCTCAAAGGCAAGCTGCCCGAGATGCAAGACTGTGTTTTGGTGTTCGTGAAGCCAACCTGACCCCATGGTGCTATGGGAGCTTTGGTGCTGGAAAAAGTGCTGTAAGATCATAAGGAAAACGTCTGTGATTGTTTGTGGGCTGCCTTCTCCACAACCTAGCAGCTCCTTGTGGCACTGTGATACAATCCAACAGAGGACTGGACTATGGCACAGTCCAAGTAAAGCGGTGTTTGTCCGTAGGGACTCCAAAACATTAGCAGCCACAGTGGGGTCACGGTGATGCTTCCGCACAAAACAGTCAATCCCACTTGGGGTAAAGCCTATCAGGAGGATCTCTTTGCGGAGGTTTTTCTTCAACACAGGGCCCACTGCCTCTGGGCGACTAGTCACCACTTTCCGCACACCCTTCATTAGGGAACCCTGGATCAAGTTGAACAAGAGTATGTGAACAGGTGCACGCTGAGTGGGGCAACAGAGCCTGTGCTCATCTGAAAAGCCCTGCTTGAGCTCATCCAGGCCATCGAAAGTGAAGAGGATGAGCTGTGGGTGGTCCAGGATGAACTGGAAAATATCCTCCTGCTCCCTGTCTGGCCAGCAGCAGTGGTGAAACAGCAATTCCTGGACAGACAGTTCCTGCTGCTCTGAATTCAACTTGCGACAGCTGAATGGAAACAGAAGGAGGAAGTCCTGAAGGGCTGTCCCCCGAGCCCAAAGCAAGTGCAGCCTCTGGAGTAAGGTGCTCTTCCCACCGCCCGCATCCCCAGACACCAGCACTGTGTCGGCCTCCTCGTTCACTGTACCCGCTGTACCAACTATGTCCTTCAGGCCCAAAGGTCCATGGACATCATTGCAGTTATGAGCTAGTTCCAGCTGGCCCTCAGTGTAGATGTCATCCAGAGACATGTGGCTGGTCCCTCCATAAGTACTGAGAAAGCAGGACTGAGCAGACACAGAACTGCTGAGCTTCTTCTGATACTTTAAGACCTCTGTGACAAAAAGCATACTGCATATTACACATGAGAAGAACTGCAGTAAATACATAGCACTGCAAAATGATACATACTATGTGTACCAATATATTCTGTAACTGTGAACTGTGGTGTGCTGATAGCTGGTCTTTTCACACTTTTTTTCAGCCACGTTCTATATTTGGAGCTCAACTATTTCCATGTTTTGAAAGGAAATGCGTATATTTGAATATTTATATTTAGCTTGCACGTGGAATCTCATATTATCTATAAATATATATATATATATATATGGTTATGTTATGAAGTGTGTAGCATGGTCCAAGGAACAACACTTTAAATTTTGGAGCTGATGTCGGCGTTCTCTGAGTGCCCTTCAAGTTGGGCCTACATACTGTATGTAGCCTGATAGTTTTCTGCATGATTCAAATGAAGACATACCTTTGGGAGGAGTCCAATTGTCCTGGTTGAGCGAAAATCCAGATTCCTGTTTTTCCTGAATGTACTGCTGTACAACCTTCGCCGCTGATTCTCCTTTTGATCTGACATGGTCAAGCAAACGCCTTGCCTGATTGACATAGCAGTGGCAACAGATTAATTATTAAAGGAATAGTTCAACATTTTGGGAAATACCAGTATTTGCTTTCTTGCCGAGAGTTTGGTTAAAAGATTGATACTACTTTCATATCTGAATGCTAAGTATGAAACTGGCCCCAGCAGACAGATAGCTTCGCTTAGCATAAAGACTGGAGACAGGGGGAAACAGTTAGCCTGTCCAAAGATAGAAGGATCCACCTACCAGCTCCTCTAAAGTTCCCTAATTAACATGTTGAATCGCTGCGGTGTTATTGGGGTGTTATGTGACGGACTATTTCGTGGCCGGGCGTACAACTTTCTAAAAAAGACTCTTGACTGGTGACCTGTTAACAATCTTTGTGCTAAGATAAGCAAACAGGCTGCTGGTGCTTGATTCATACTTACCGTACAGAAAAGAGAGTATTAATCTTCTCATCTAGTTCTTGGAAAGAAAGTGAACATTCAAACATTCCCTTTAGAATGAGCACAAAGGCATTGCATGATAGCACCAAATCTAGTTTAAGCAACAAGAACAAATACTTAACCCCAAAATTGCTCCCGTAGTCGAGCCTACGGTGTAGAAATGTGATAGACTCTAAAATTGTAAGTCACTTTGGATAAAAGCGTCTGCTAAATGACTGTAATCTAATGTAATGTAAATACACTGTGGGTGTGCTGAGCAATATAAAAACAAAACAACCAGCAACAGCTTAAATTCCTGTATAACATCCCAAGTTGCCAATAAAAAGGGAATGCAAAAACTAAACACCTGTTTAAATTCCAAGACAACTGAAAAGGTAAAGAAAAATGACAGGAATTTGGTGTAACACTGTGTACACAACGTGAGCCAGTAGCCTACCTGCTGAGAGGGCGTGTGTATAGGCAGCCGCACTTCCTCGCAGTCTGCGGAGGTAAAGTGTCCTGATATGACGAGAGCTTTTAGTGCATCCTCAATGCAGCCTTGTAGCTTGCTGACCAGGCTTGGTCTTTGAGTCAGAAGACTCTGAGTACATGTGCTCTGGTATTCTTCTTTCTTTTCCTCTGGATTTGAACCGCATTCTGAAAATGAGAAGCCAGTTCGCTGCCCTTCAGGCAGCACCTGTTGGAGAGCGGCATAGAAGAGCACGCAGGTGTCCACTCCCTTTATATAAACCAGGTCGAGCAACTGTCTGGTGTTGGTATACAGTGCTCTGCCCGGTACCTGTATGTTCTGGTATTCCTCGAATATGAGCTCCCCCTGGGACAGCAGAATGTCCAGCACCCGCTCCAGATGTTCAGCCGACCCGCTGCTGCACAGCGCATGTAGGATCTCTGTGCGTTGTCTCAGCACGAGCTCTTGGATAGACATGCTTGTTGCATGACAGCGTCCATACTCAGGGACATCCAACGTGTACTTCCAGTTTCACAAGCTGGCACAGCGAACACCCACATATCATCATGCTATTGGCCATCACCAGTTTCACTCAGATAGCTCACCGTAGGATCAGTAGGCTATACCTACTAACAACGGAGGCTGTTGGTGTTGGTGTAGACTGATCTAAGACTGATCTAAGGGCCCTAAACCTCAAAAGCAAGCAACATAACGCAATTGTAAAAGTATCACTCACGGTAGAGTTTCCACAACAGAGCGCTTCCTTCCATCTGTCAATTGGACTGAAACACTGCGCGACTTCAGACTTTCCTCTTCCTCATGCCACAGCTGAAAGCGAAACTTAGTTCTGCCACCAAGTCCCTCCTGTAAAATGGAAACTAAATCTTTCCAGCAAATGAGATGAAACTTCCACAAAATTTCAAATACAATGCAGTTAATTAACTTCCCTGTTTGTCTGTTATTTGCAAAATAGAACAAAAACAATGTTTCAGGTTTGCCCACATGCCAATAGCCACTTGTTCACTGGGGTGTGATGACATTATATCCTCTGGCCAGTGCTTTTCAGGGTGAGAGTGCACTGCATTTAGAAGGACCATAAAGAGGAATTATAGTTTTTATAAAAAGCAGAAGCTCTGGCACTATTAAATAGAAACGGTTCATTTGACACATTACCGAGAAAAGCCACCAGAAATATACTGAAGTGGAAAACTGCAGGGTCCGTGTTGGTAGTTCCTCAATGGTTGCAATTTGCTCATGCAACCACTTGGTGGAACTATTGCATAAATGAAACAACCTGATTTGTTCAAGAGCCTACATTTTGTCATTTTTAAATCTCAGAAGCTGCCTTCTTCCCGTCATCCTGTGCGTACCCTCTCATTGTGCTGATGTTCATTTTCATTTGGTTTAATTGGAAATCCTTTGTTAATTAGAAGCTGGTATGAGGGGGTCTTAATGGTTTGATGGAAATAAATACACAGTATGATAATCTTTGCATGGTATTCCATTCTGCAGTGTTTATAATAGTAATAATATTGTAGCGACTGGGAACCTGCAGCCTAGCCAGCGTGCTGTGTATCTGATGTAAACTTCAAAAAGTGCATTTAAAACACTACCCTGGAAACAGCTCATATTCTGATTGTCTCTTACTCCCCTTGCATTCTTTGATGTCGAGATAAAATAAGTGCAAGAATGACTTTTTGGACAGTCAGATGATTTGTCATTACTGTTATTATAGCCCCCTCCTGAGCACCATGATTCATTTAGTGTGTGTCTTCAGTGAGTCGTAGGGGAAAATCCTCAAACACACGAAGGCAGGAGAAACGAAAGACAGACTGGAATAAAACTTTCTAAAGTGAGTTTCTTTTTTCCATTTTTTTTCTTCCTCTTGTCTAAAAAAGAGGCAACTCCACCAAGGGGAGTGTAACACAGAGTGCTCTCTGTCAGGTATCCTATGAGAAGCTCTAACGTGGAGTTTTGCCATCCAAATCACAGTAGGGGGTCCAGATGAGTTTGGCTGGATAAGAAGGAAGGTACGAAATTGTCAATAAAGAGAATAGAGACATAGTCCCCAAAGACATCTCTGAGTATTTCTATCCTCAGTTGCAACATACATCACCTTGTGCAAGGGAGGGCTCCAACTTCAGTCATTTGGATTATACTGTATATCCTCCTGCATTATTAATGAAGACACCGAGAAATACAGTATACATCTAGGAAATGAGTTTTAACAAGATGGGTTGAGCAGGGGTCAGACTACTATATGTCACATATCCCGGTACCATTGATTTGGCAGCAAAACAATGTTTTTGCATTGTAACAGCAAAGGGTCAAGGGTCAGGGGCTGCAGTTCCTAATCAATATGTGCTCAGCCTAGACTCAAGACTGACTTGTTATAGGCATCAAACCTCTGCTGTTTAGGGTTGTTTTTGGTTTATTCTTAAAACAGATTTCAACATCTAAGCTAAAGAATGATCCAGCCATCTCTCATAGCAGAGATGGAATACTTTGGCTCCAGTCATTTCATCACTGTGCATTCTTTCTGTGCAGATATTCAAAGCACATGTGGTGAGCTCAGTGTTAGGCCAGGTGCACTGACGTACAGTATGTGCATCGATTTGTCTGCCAGAGACACAGAACTCCCAGAAGCAACTCAGCACATCTCACCCTCTATGAATTCTGAAGTAAATCTACAGGCAAGTTGTTGTAACCAATTAGCCTCATGCTCGGAAATAATGATTTATTTTTTGATGATGCGAATTTGGGGAAAAACAGAATGCACAACCATAATAAAATTGATATGTTAACAGAATAACACAATCAAAGATGTGATCAATCAGTCAACCCAAAACAAAAACGTAATTTCATCCATGTAAGCAAAATTGCAAATGACAACACACAGTAAAACACATCTCGATAGCCATTAAAACAAACCAGTCTATTTGTGATTGTATCAACAGTTTGTATGATATCTTATGAAGCGCGTGTTTTCCCACAAAAGCCAGCAACCTGTGTCAACTTCCGCTGGTTTAAAAGGCCAAACCATCTCCTAATACTCTTATTTCCCTAGCATGTCTGTGTATCTGAGCATTTTTTGCTGGAGATGTAAATTATTAAACAGTGGTTTATGGTAGTAAAATGTTTGCTTTAAAAAAACGTAGTGATTCCCTAAAACAACTGGGCACTGCGGTAATTAACTCGAACATGAGTATAGTGCACTTGTTGGGGACTATTTTTAGCATCTGATGAGGACACATTTGATGCTCATACAGCAGAAGGACTGTGTATGTGGGATTGACTCAAAATAAAAGTTGCTGTGTTCATCATTATGAGGGAACATGTCACCCAGTGCAGTAGAGCTCTATGGCAGAGAGGAATAAGCTAAAGTGGGCTTTGGAGACAGACTTGTTAGAGGGATCAATTTATAGTTGATTTTCATGGGAACTGTTTGACCATAATATATTCTGGTTTAATATAACCAGACATATCCTTTTTTTTTTTTAAAAGGAGGAAGTGCAACCAAGTTTTGGAGAAGTATTCCGTGAGAATCTTCCGATCTTCTTTGGTTTCAGGATATAGATTACTACTTTTTTTCGTACAGTCTTTTCAAAATAAACTTGCGTCTTCACAGGAAACAACTTCCTTTGTTTCGGCCACAAAACTACGTGGCTAGGTTTAGGAAAAGATTGTGAAATACTTAGTTAGCTCAAGGCAACAAAACGACTTGATTATGTTTAGGAAAAGATCGTTGTTTGGGTTAAAATAACTATGGAAGTGCTGTTACTTAAGTACACAAGTTACGCGATAAATACATCAATGTCTTCTTGCTACACATGGGGAATGAACAGCGGCCCTGGGAGAAAGATCGGTTTTGTTTGTCCCATCCAGCTCCTACGAATGCTGGATGAGCACAGCCTGAACTGAATAATCGATCTTAAAGGATAGGTTCACATTTTTTCCAGTAGAGGGAATTTTGTACAGAAAAGACTAAGTTTGGAAGATACCTTTTAATTTGACTGCTGAAGCCTAATATTAACTTCAGATATATTTTGGAATATTTTTTTACACAGAACAAGGACTATGGATTTTATCAACCACTTTACCAATGGTGTCAAGTAAAGAAGCTGAGTTATATACCTGTAATCTCCCATTCCTCTGAGACAGAGGAGTGACAAATAAAGGTGGATTACCTCTTTTCATTAATGGAGACATTGACAGTAAAAGGATCACTATCCACAGCAATACTACAAAACTGCAGACATTCAAGCCCCATATTGACTCACACATTGGAAGGATTAGTGTATAATTAGAAAAGGCTTCCTGAAGCCAGAAAGAGAGAAAATCAACAGAGGAAGTGGATGGCATCATGCACATGTGCATGAACATGTGGGTGTGTCAATCAGGATTTAATTGACGGGAAGATTAAAGCTCACATCTGAGAGCCCCCTTTTTTTCAAGGGCGGCCAAGTTGAAGGAGTCTGGTCTCCAGCGTCTGCCCGCGGTTTGGGGTGCTGCGCTCAAGGTTAGCGCAGGCACCCCGCTGAGCGTGCGCTGTCTGAGATGGGTCCTACTTGTTGGACATTCATTATCAAACTCTGTTTGCTCCTTTCATCTGCAGCTCTCTGCAGCACTCAACGTAAACTACAGAGGCACCTTGCAGCTTGACATCTCTCCATTCACTCTGTACCTTAAACAGCATGCTGCCACATCAAAGAGCTGCGGCTGCCTTTGATGTTGCAAAAAAGAAAGAGCTCCAATGATCTGCTAAAAACCAATGCAACTTTCTGGAGCCCTGTTTTATTCTTTTGCTATCTCTAGAAGTCTGGAGTCAGGCTCTAGAAGTTCAGAGAGCGGATTTGGAATCTGGAAAAGTTGAACTGTGCTCTTTGCAAAATGAAGTGAAAGAAAAAAGAGAGTCCACTACCTTTTACATTGGTTTTCAGCATTACCCTCCCTGTGGTGCGTGCCATATGTTATAAAGTTGAAGGGGGCTGTCATAAAGTGCCAGGTTTAAAGTGAATGTTAAATGGCCAGACAACAGCAAACATCCATCACTGTCGACTATAAGTATTTATGAGACAATGGGTCAATCTGCAATTTACGATGTCATGAATCAATGGATATTCATGTCTTTCTATTTCTTGCTGTATATCACATAAAAACATAACTAACAACATCCTCAGTGTGTAAATTTAAAAACAAAAATACAACTATCCCAGGTTTTGGGTTTTTACTTTAGCATCCAGTGCACGGTAACACAACATCCTTGACGATGAAATTGCTTGGCTTTAGCGTTGAAAATAGTATACATGCAACAGGTGCAAATGGCATCTTCTCACTCACTCTGGTGTTATTCTTTATTTTTCTAATAGTGAGCAAATCTCATAAAAGGCCAAACCGTCTCCTAATACTCTTATTTCCCTAGCATGTCTGTGTATCTGAGCATTTTTTGCTGGAGATGTAAATTATTAAACAGTGGTTTATGGCAGTAAAACCTCTTTTCATTCCTGCATAATTTGCCTAAAACGCCTATCAACCGCGTACCCAAAGTAAACTGACAGCCGTTATTGAACCATTGGGAGTACATGTATGGTTTTAGTCTTTATTGAACGGCAACACTCTGAAGTTTCTTCACAATCAGTCAGAATCACCGTAAGTGCTATTAGCATTGAGCTAATGCGTTTTCAGCACAGTGAAAGAGAAGCATTTTACTTCCGCCTAGATTTGTTTCGGACAACAGATGGCAGCAGCTATCTATGGCAGGGACTTACAGTCTTGAAAAGACTCCCATTCCACAGCATACAGTC